ACGTTTCTGGTTTCTCTTAAGAATTAATGGCTTCCATGCTGAATATAGATGTATTTAGGAAAGCAAAATTCGGTTTGGTTTTCTGATCTTCAGTGCTTGAAACTTTCAAATCAAATACGGTATTAAAATAAATAAAGTCTTATCCTTTTGCACAATGTTTAATATTTGCTCTTTTTCCTAAACATAACAAAAGTACCCTTATTCTGAATTTTTGCCTTTTGGCTGAGAAGCTTTTCCATACATCAGGAGATGTATGTTCCACACATACAGGAGACTGTTTTTAATGATGTTTAATAACGTGTGACAAAGTCTCGCTGTATAGAAAAAGGTTTCATGAATGCTTCCTTGGAGATTGTTTTGAGGGTATTGTTAATAAGGTGAGTTGAATTACACATGCAGCATCAGTCTTTGGATTGCATCTGGATTCATTTGTCCTTGACCCTGTGAAAACATCAAATGTGATGTTGATGACACTGATGCTGCTGGTGATCCAATTAAAAAAAATAAAAAGTGCAAGTGGCACTTTTGAGGTCTTACTGATGCATACAAATTTTATTTGCCATACACATTGGTTTCTGTCGTTGCAGCACACTCTGAAAGAGGGTGTTTTTATAATTTTAAAATTTGTAAAAATTTCTCTATTGCAAAACTACAAATAAGTGAAAATAAGGATCATGAAGGCCTGAACCCAAATAAAGTGGAGAACATGATTTAATGATAGGCTATTAGATAAGCTACAGCCTTCTCTTTTCTTTTTTCTCTTTTTTTAATCTTTTTGGTGCTTTTCTTGTCCAGGTACTTCATTTTCCCCCCATCTTTTGGCCGCTTAATTGAAGCAGTCACATGACTGAAGTATGGGATTCAGTGAAATCAGCGTTTGTTTTGTTTGCACCATCTGTAGCTGTTCGAATGTAACTCCAAGTAAATGGAGAGTCCCTTAGGAGTAACTCAGGTACCTGCATGATGGTCCTATTAAATGTCATAGAAACTCAGTATGTGCACCAGAAGACAACAGATGCATGAGGACTGTGACTCTTTTGGAATAATTTCCTTTAAAATTGAGTGAGGGTCCCATTGTGAGCACTGGTTTAAAAAAAAAAAAACAAAAAAACAAACAGGTAAATGTGCCTTCACTAATTGGGGGAAAAGAAATATACGGGTGGCCGGTCGGACAGGTTTGATGTTACTGTCCGTAGCAACGTGCATCCGTTGCATTCGGCCCACGGGACGGATTTCTGTGCAGGACACTTAGCAGCAAAAGGTCCCGGGCTGCGGTCGCGGCTGCTAAGCAGACCTGTGGTGCAGCGCAGGTGGCCCGTTCCCTGCTGCCCCTGGCCTGAGAATGAGTTCTGACTCGGGTCTACTCGACAGAAATAGATTTATTAGCGTATGCAAGCAAAAGAACTGGTTGTCTGCGATCCGTGTGTGTCTTCAGTATTTGGTGTGACCTGCGTCTGAAGCGTGTATAAAACGCTTATGTGGCTGGATAGCAGCGAAACCTTTCTTCTGCATTCTGGCGCGGGAGGTTACATGTGTGAAGGCTTGAATATAAAAAGGAGAGCAGAAAGATCAGCCTAGCATAAAATTGCTTGTGTTAAGTGAGAAATTCCAGCTAGGTAATCTATGATCGCTTATGTAAGCAGAGCCAATAAGGTCACTCATTTCCAGGGGAATAATAAAATCTGAAAAGAGGATAGAAATTACTCATGCTATTTTTAGTTTCCAGATGAGGTATTTCTCTTACCTTTACCTATTTTAAAAGGACAATAGTGAAGGTGGTTTTTTTTTTTTTTTTTACATCCAAAGTTTGATCTACCTACTATTTTTTATATACATATTTCTGTATTTTGAGAGAGAAAAAATCAATTTTCTGGCAGTTTACCTTAAAAGAATATTTAAGATCTGCTTACTGTGGCTTTACAGTTTGGAATACGGGCATAAGTCCTAGGACAAGTGGATTACTGAATAGCGTGCTGGAAAAAAACTGAGTAATGCAAGATAAATCAATTTATTGCGTAGTACATGTATGGAATGTCTTGAGCTCAAACAGAAAGACAGTTTGGGGACATGGAAAGAAAGGACTGGGTTTTTATAGAGGTGTGAGTGAAAAAGGAGTTTTTATACGAAAACGTGTCCTATTTTCAAGTTTCCAAAGGTCAAAAAAGCATTTTATATGGTATCTGTGCTTTAATTTCTGGCACTCAAGCATACATTTAAGGATTTACTGTTGTAGTAATGGGATCATTTACATACTTCAGATTAATAACTTTTTTTTTTTTAATCCTGAATCGGTAGCCATAAACAATATCTCAGTGGCATTAAAAGATTGGCTAGATGTACAGAAATCAGTCTCCATGAAGTCTGGTGAAAACAGCAGCTTTCCTTCTAGTAGAAATATTGTTCATGAAATTCCATGACAGTTTTGTTGTCTGAAAAGTGCTTTGTAAGCTACTTGCATTGGTTCTGACCCAGGTGCTGCGGACAAGTGCATTTACGTCTCCCGGTGGTTGTTCCTTTCTTAAATCACCTTTTATTTGTCTTTCAGAGAAGACAATAGAGCAAGCAGCCTGTCAAAAACTGACTGACAGAAAGGAATCAGGACAGTTTATTCTTGCAACCCATTGAACAACTCATTGATTATTGTTACGAATATTATCTTTGTAAACTTGCTTAACAGTAGAAAAGGATATATTCTTTAGCATTAATGAAATTTTGGAATAGGTTAATATCATCTCAAGAGTCAACGTTGATTATGCTTTTCTGTATGCTACCTTTTAACCTTATCTGATGCAGGTATTTCTGTTACTGTATTTGCATTTATCCTTCCTTTAACTCATTTGAACCTTATCTCATAATAAAGATTTTTTTGTTAAGTGAAAATTATAATTGGTAAACCAGAACACAAATAGCAACGTTTCTGCACTAACTTAAAATGTGATGTCATGTGTGTACTAACAGCTGCATTTTGACAAAAGTACAGTACGATAGGCTAACTCTTTTTTTAGCTTTCTTTCCCTTCTTGATCTTTGTATTAATTTGCATAAGTACGCTAATATGCTTAGACATAGATATAAGTTGAATTATGAAATAAATGGACAACTAGCTGTTAATCCATTAAAAGCAATGGCAGTTTTGCTGTTGATTTTGGTCTAGACTTGGTTTTACTCCACATGTTAACTAACCTCAACGTGTGAATAGTCTTGGATTGCTCTGTTTCTGTCGTCTAGATCCTTTGTCTTTTTCTTGAAAGTGTTTTAAAAGTGATTTTAGTTTGAGAAAGGTCAGAGAAGTTCTACTGTATTGGTCTCAGCTAAGTAATTGGAGAAAAACTTCTTAACATGCTTTCATGCACTTTTATTAAGTTACTTCTGTTCTCGGTATGTGCTTTTGCTCCTGTGTCTCCAGCTGTTGCGTAACGTGACTGAACGCTCTGTGCTATCTCCGTGTTTTCAGCTGCAGCTTCTGCTGGTTACAATAACCAGATATTTTGCTGTAATTTCCTCTTAAAAAAAAAAGTCCAGGAATAATTCTTGTGTTAATTGTTGCTGTAACTTAAAGGCAGGAGATTAAAATACAATCGCTTTGCAGTTACCTCCATGTTAATTCAGAGTTTGAAATTGCTGGTGAAAAGTTAAAGCTTTTATTGAAATTTCTTATACCAAACTCTTTTGTTTTTTATGATAAATCAAAAATTTAAATAAGCTGCTCTGGTGTTATGTTGCTATAAAAAGCCACGAAGAATTCAAAACATCAAAAGATGGGTTGTCATTCTTTTTTTGCAGGGCAGGGGGAAAGGGATGATGCAGTACAGAAACATTAGAAGAGCCCTACTTTTTCTTGTCCTTAACTTTACTGAGTGCTGTGGTAAACTTTAAACAGGCTCTAAACTATTTGGTTTCTCTTATATCTGCACTTTGAAGTGTAATATTAGGAGATGCCTTTAGTGTAGAGAAGCAAACATCTGAGGACAGATTGTTTTTATCTTTTCAAATTGATTCCACTCATCTAACGGCACTAGTTTTGTGTGTTTACTATTTCAGTCTAAGGAACTGTTGATAAATTAGGAAGATAAAATGGTCACCAGTTGGTCAGTAAATAGCCACTGTAATAACACAAAGTTGCGTAGTGGAAACACAGTAGATCCGTGTGACAGAATCAGAGCATCAAAGGCTGTCGGTGATTCTTTCCGTCACGGGGCATGCTGCAATGCAGCCCTTCGCGGTGCACCTGAAAACTGGGGCTGGTCTTCTTTGGGAAAAGGGTAGCTCTAGGGAGAAGGTAAACGTTATCATCCCTTTCTATTTTTGTGTAATAAGTGTAATGTTTCTGCCAGTCTGTGGCAGCTACGCTTGTGTCTATGCTCTTGAACTTCCAGTATTATGTTGAAGTATGTTGTCGGAATTACTACAGTGCGGGTACCGTACAACTATCAGGGACCTCCTGAATCATCAAGACAATCCAGCACCATCGTAGATGTGTCATATGACCCTTGTCCTAAACAGATTCAGCTCCCTTTTAGAAGCATTAGATCTTTTGCCCCTGTTGCTCCAGCTGGGGACAATTACAGAACCTCACTGTTCCGGTACAGAAATTAAAAATTATGCCTTACCTCTGTAAGTATTCATCGCCAGTTGTGCTCACTTGCTCTTATACCAGTGTTCTTTATCAGAAGAAATCTTGATTTTATTGACGTTGGGAGAATGTTGCACTTAATTCCAATGAATGAGATGAAAATTTCATCGAGTTTCAAACGTGCTTGAGAGTTCCCCTTTACAGGGCATCTCGATAGTTCTGCAGTTCTGTTTTCCCCTAGTTAGACTGGGATGCTTATACAAATCAGAACATTTGTTTTTATAACTTGAGTAACATATTTTGGATTAATTATTACCTGACATTTGTAGTTTAATACTCTCTGTCCTGAAGGCATGATTTTGATTTAAAGTACTTAATTTTGGTACTTTACACAGGCAACCAAAATTAATCTCATCAATAGGTAGGTGTGCCTATTAAAAAACATTCTCAGTAGTAGTTCAAATGACTTGGCCAATTTTTATGTAGCATTTCTAACTCTTAAAAACATGCATACTTGCAAAAAAAAGTTCCAAAAGAATGTTTTGATATCCAGCTTCAAAGAAACTTTTTAACACTATTTAATGCAAGTTGTTACAGTAGAGAGAGACAACAGTTAGCTACAGTCCTTCACTTCTGGCAACAGACTCTGTAGTTTCATGATTCACCCATATTTAGATAAGTACTGAATCAAATCTTTGGTCTGTCAATGCCAGTGTATTTGTCTCTTTCTGTAGGCTGTGGCTAGCATTTAGGTGGGGAGAAAAAAAGTGCTGCTGGCAATTTTTCCACCTTAGTGGTGGAACACCAAGTGGAGTTCAAAGATACCATTCTGCAATCTGTTCTCGTGGAGCGTCTCCTTCATGGAGGCAGCCCTACGTAATTAAGAAATGACTAATGCAACCGAGGAAGTGTTACAGAATTAGTGCTGTGAGAGCAGAGGATTAACCGGGGGGAAGCATTCCCACCACCAGAGGGCAATAACTTGTGTGAAAGTTCTAGCTTGGTCCAATAAAGAAATTCGATTGCTTTAATGATAATTTCAATAGGAAGAACTGGGAGGCACAGCTTTATCCTCTAAGTTATAGGCAAAATTACCAGTGCTTAGGATGATAACATAACGAAATGATTGGTAGAAATAATTCCAACGTCAGAGCGTGTTTAAGGAGGAAAAAGAGTCCAGAGAGAAAATGGCTTCATTTGTTGAGTGCTAGTTGAATGCTAATGGAAATTCTTCTCCATAATTTCAAGAGATATGAAC